ATATATATATATATATATATATATATATATATATATATTTAATAATTCCTTTTTTCATTTTACTTCATTTGCTATAATAAAGTATAATAATTCCGGAAAGCCTTTCAGATCAGTTTTCCGAAAAAATTTTACAGAAAAATTAGACTATTAGTTTTTAAATCTCTCTCCGAGTAATTCTTTTAATTTAATGCGAAAAATCAAAACTATATTTGAAGCGAAATACCTGAGCGTATAACATAGCATTCCAGAAATCCCACCGGATTTTTTGGTCTGTATATTTGATCCCGAGATTTGTTTCATATAAACTTAGCTCTTGATCAAGGCGTCTTCTGATCTAAATTCCGGTAGTCAAGTAACCCAGTTTTTTTTTCTCAACTACTGATGTGATCTATTTGTCAAGTTTTAAGTCTACATTCAATAAGTATGAGTTCAACAATTTGCATTATCTCAACTTTATAAATAAATTTGAAGCATTCCAATTCCCTTGCATTTCAAACCTGTCTCGTTTGATTGGCAGTAAGGAAGAATAAATATTCGCTGTTATTGAACATGGATGACACGATGACATCTACTAAGCGCGTTCGATTCTGCTTTACATTTTCCCTCCAAAACGTCTCAAGTGACTCATCGTGAGTTGTCTCACAAAGGTAGAATATCGCTGCACCAATAAATTGATAAATGATGAGAATAGTGATTAATAGAATATGCTTGAGACCGTATTCATGATACATTGTCCTCAGAACTCGCATCCATCGCGGTGCATGACGTATTCGCCTTATATTCGCTTCTGCTTCATGACGGATTACATTGGCTGCTGTATTTGCCTGAAGTATAGGTCACTTTTTTCCGCATTAAGTTTTCAAATCAACATGTAAATTCCGAAATTCCTGAACAAACGTGATAATCTGAAAGCTGTCAAAAAATGCTGTTCTTTTGTATTACAAAATGAAATAAAATATTTTATAAAATAAAAAGTTAACTAAAATCTTCAGACTAAACAGTAAAGAAAAGTTCAAAAGTTTTGTTGACAAACTCATAAAAATCTTTTGCCCAAATTTTATCAAAATAGGAAAAGGACACAATAATTTGAATTTATTCGCTCTCAAGTCACATAAAACCAGAACTCTTGAGTATTAAAGTTTCATCACTTCTTCAGGTCATGTATTGCTGGGAAAAATTCATCATCGCTCAACTTTACAAGGAACTATTAGCAGTAATTAAGTAACGAAATACAATGTTATTTTGGGCATCCAATATTACCCAGACCATTTGCCGAGGTAAATTTAAATAACAACAGCACCCGTGATATTGAGAATTGATGACATTCTGTTTATCATTTTTAATATTTATCAACTCTTCATTTAATTTACAAAAAATTTTTTTCAATTATTGAATGTAAAAGGGAATAATAAATCAGGCAGAAGACAGTCGAAAATTTAAGCAAGAAAGTTGCAAATTTTATCGATATAATATGTAATTGTATTAATTGACACTTGAGACAAATGAAAATAAAATAGCTTTTCCTTTGAGTGCACCTCAATATTTCTCATCTTAGTACTCAAAGATTAAATTCGAAGCAAACAAGATTAAATTTCATTTAAGTGGAACTTGGTGAGATTTAGCTATCCTTATAAAAAACTGATGAATTTGGTAACCAGCAATGATCCCTTCTGGATCAATATCTTGTAGCAATCAATCTTTTGAACAATGTTCTCAAGACTTATCAAAGAACCATCTTGTGCTTTGTGATAAAAGCATTAACAAAATC